GTCAAACGAATTCTGAAGAATTTCAATATTTATAATTCTGTATTTTTCTATCTCTTACATTAGATAAAATATCTATAAATGCTTAAGTCCATGACCTTGATAATTTATCGTTATCTTCAGATTGATTTGGAAATTTATTTAAAATTTTTTGCTTATTAAACCGGTAGATACCTGTTGCAATAATACCTGATTTAATATTGTTTTGCATACTCTCACATAATTTTTCTAAAGTATTTTGAAGTAGTTTGGGAAATTTGAATTTAGCTATTATTCTGTAGTTGTTGTCTTTTCAAGTATTTTAAGTATTTCATCAATACCTTTGAACTGGTTTAAAAACAGTGACGTCAACTGGTTGACATAAAATGTCACATTTGGGAGAAGTAAAACAAAATCGATATTTTTTTTGTCAACTTGAATGACTTTTTATGAGATATGACGTACTAAAATATGATCTGTAATTAAGGTTCGCTAAATATCAGCAAGTAGGTAAAAAACGTGACAATTCTTTCATTTGGGCGTATCAAACCATCTATTATCGGTACTTGTTTCTTACGTATCTTTTATAATTTATGGGTGCTTGATACTTCTTCTTATCACAAGTGTTTTGCCTGGGTCATGGGTCATGGGCCCTGGGAAAAATAAATCACTACCTACACTGCAGGGTCTTTTTAAACCGCTACCCGTGGGGCCTAAATTAAAATTTTAAAGCACGGGGCCCGGGGCAACTGCCCCATTGCTTCCCTCTCTCGTACTATCATTGACTGTTACTACTTAGTTATTCAAGTATGTATCCAATGCATTCATATAATTATGACGACTCTTCACAGACATGGGTAATTTATAACTTATAAATTGAAATAATTTAAGTATAAATAATTATAATTTTATAAGGAGCTGACGATAAAATTGGTAAGGTTAGGTTTAAAAAAAATTGTAAATAAATTCAGTAACGTTGTCCGAAAATTGGAACATTTAAATACAGCACACCCCTTTTCCAACCCACCAGAAAAAAAATTGAAATCGGGCTAATTCAAACAGGAGAGTATTATTTGGAACAAAACTGTAAAAATAATGGAAAAATGATAAATAGTGTAGTCACAAAATGGGAACATAAAAAAGACCTGTTCTTGCGGACCTTGCAAAGAGGCCTCAAAAATTAGCAGAATGAGAGCCTCGCAAATTTGGTTCATTTTTGAAATAGAAACATCTTTATGATTTATATTGTCAACGCCGGGGTCATACGAAAATGCTGATCTTGGACCATGCGAGCGTGATGATCTAAATTGAGTGGATTCGGATTCTAAAATTCTTTGTGTTGATATTTGCCGAAGATATGTCGAGCACTTTTATTGTTCTTGTTCTTGTTAAATTATGTCAGTAGTTATGCATTAATCTGTATTTTCTATATTTATTGTAATGTCCAAAGAAAAATGTTAATTTAAAGATACGATGTTTATAAGGGCGACTTATTATATCCGTCGAGGACAACAGAGCTCCAGGATGGTCGCTTGTAAACTCCTCTAAATGGCGGGAACTCCCTATAATCGTATTTAAAAAACAAGTCAGAATGACAGTATTGTCTGTATATTCATTGTATAATCTTATCGCTATAGAAATAATATAGCAGCTTGGTATTCGTTTAATAAACATAGAAATCAATTAAAAAAATTACTCATACCTCAATTCTCATTGAAAACTAATTTTTATTCGATTTAACATTAGCTTGTGCTCTTCAGCATCTGTTAAAGGTATATTTTCGTCTGCAGGATTAATTAATAGTCCTATCAGATTCAAATTGTCTAATGTTACTCTTGAAAAATTGAAGAAAAGTGTATTTACGCCAAATATGTGTCAGCATATTGGTTTTAAATGCAGAAAAGACATAAAAACCTTAAAAACTGAACTTAAAAGATAACCAAGAAATGTATCTAGATGAGCGAGAAAAATTAATTTTTAAATAATAATTAATCATTAATTTTTCATATTACACAAAATAGATAACAATTTGTTTTAAGAAGTAAATTAAACAAATATATTCAAATTTGAGTTAACAATTAATTATATTACTTTTTCAATATTAATGGACTGGAGTAGGAAGGTAATTGGGATTATCTATATAAATCACATTAAAAAAGCTTAAAATTAACAAAAATGAGTTTAAATACACAAAATTAACGTAATATTTTTAAAAAAATGACCTTAAAAATGCAAAATAAAAATTATACATTCTAAATTGTTATATTACAAAGAAACAAATATGATTTTTGGTTAGAACTGTATAGCACTTTAAGAGTATATTGGTAATAATAATATATTAATATGGTCTAAAATAGGCGTGCCCAACCCGTGGTTCGCGGTATTATTCCTACTGGCCCGTGACCATTTTATACAAATTTTATTTTAATTGTTTACGCATACTCTTATTATGTTCTATTTTATTTTTATTTTTTATTTTCTCTTATTATTTTATATTCTTATATTATTGTTTTCATTGCGTGACAAATTTATTATCTGATTATTGTATGCGCTGTGCGCGATAAGTGCAGGTGTTTGTGTTTTCCACGCATGATTATCTAAATTATGATTTGGGTAATGTGCGTGGAGAATTATGGACATTTGCACTTATACCGAAAATTGTACGTCTATCGGCAGTTAGCGATTGGGTTTTTCGGGCTTTTCGTCACAGAACACGAGACCGACTTGGTGTAATCACTGATTCACCGGGTATCTTCTCGTGTTTCTGTCACAGAACACGG